CATCGCCCATTCCACTTCTGCGCTGGTATGTTGCTTCTGTCTTGTGTGGGTCTCTTCAAGGGCTCATCACATGGATAAGTCATTCATCATTGAAGCTGAACGACATCTGGGTATCGCTGCACCCTCACATCAAAAAGGTCCCCGCGCTTACGACCCCCCTCCCTCGAGGTCAAATACGACCCCCCCCCCTTGTGATGATCACAACGATGGCGTGCCCTGTTTGCAGCCAGTTCCGTTCAATAGATTCACCTCACACATGGCAACTGCCATCATTTAGAATGTACAATTTGTCTTCAACTTTCACCGTGTGCTTTAAGCAGTCAGTCGGCGAGGTAGAAAGCCAGGCTGTCCCGAAAACACTTCACACGGCAGAGGAACGTGTTCTCAGTCCGGGGTTATTTGAACAATGAAGTCCGCGTGGGTCCTCGAATTGTGTATATAACAGTTGTAGAGTGGCGCTCGATCGACGCGTTAGTTACCACGTTTACCTGATAGCGTGCTTAGTGTAAGGGATCCGTCAGCCGTTGTAGATGGTCCACGGATAATTGGTGCGCAATCCTTCTAAGAGCGTCAGCTCTTGTCTGCTCTTCAGATCACCCCCTAGATTAGATGCCATTCAGTGAGCACCGCGCTATCGGGAAAGGTTGTTGATTTTCCATGGGTTTTCCTGTTTCATATGTATTATATGCCCCCTCTTCACCCCCGCTCGAGGGCAATTTTTGGGGAAAAGCTAGGGGAAATTTCGGGGGAATTCCGGAAGAACGGGACGTTTGAAAAAATCTGAGAAAGTGGTAGGTAGGAGGGGGGAATGAGGATAAAAAATTTTCGGGGAAAAGTAGGAAAATTCCCGAGAAACTCCGGGAAAAGTGGTAGATGGTTGAGAAAAAAAAACCAGGGCGAAGGTCGTATTATATTCCGGTTCTCCGTTTCACATGTGCTATGTGCCCCTACCCCCGCGCTCGACAGCTCGATGAGAAGGGATCCAGGGTGGGGTCGTATCAACCCACTAAAAAGAGGGGGGGGGGCATGGACTTAACCACAATCCCCAACCAATGGTGTGCCCTTTCAGAGCCACTACATACCCACTGCTTTTGACATTTAGTAATAGGAACTGATGGGTGATGACGGCAGTTCTAAGATAAAAACTGAAAAAATATGGCAGAAATAATGTTAGGAGCTAAGGGAAACTCAAGAAGATGTTTGGTAGCATGGGGAAGGGACGTCGGAGATCCCACCAGAGGAGGGGATCTGAAAGGGGGGGGGGAGGGTTCGCGCGGACAGCAACGTTTCACACATCACGATGACCAGTGGCTTGTCACTTGAGACAAACTCATACTACTACTGAAATATTTATAACTCAAATAGCTGTACCCTATTCCTTCGCACCATTTAACGCTACGCCAGCCAATCTTCTTTGCCGGCCTGCAATGCAGGGTTTCTAAAACAAGACCACGCAAAAAATCAAGTCGTCTGTAACGTAGAACAGTTCCACTCCATATTTGAACCAAGGCGCACCGCCTGTTGGTGAGCCTCCAACGGGGGTCTCATTGGCTTGATGAGCGAGCGAGCTGTACTTGCCCTGATGGAAGTCTTCGAGATTGATTGAGAGTGATTTTCGCCGCTTTTTTCCATATTTTTTTACAAAAAATACTATCTCTAGTAGTTGACCGGGAGTGTCTTCCCTCCTTCCCCCTTCTTACTATACGGCAGACTTCCGAGGAAATTCGGTAATACGGTCTTGACCGCGAAAGCGGATTTAATGGAAGAGGAATGTTGGGGGAATGACAGATCGTATTCAGCAGACATTCCCCCGACGCTGGGACTCGCTCTGGCAGAGGTCAGATCACGTTAGAGGGGTTGTAAAAACATCTGGCCCACAGCAGCACGGTGAAAATTTCCGCGACTGTTCTTCGTGTTTATTTTTTTCATTGTTCACCCTGAAATTTAGATATGACGTGCCTGTTTGGTGAACCGTTCGTGAAATCTGTCAAAGGGGTCAAGCCAACAGAAGCCGTACCAGTTACAGGAATAGTGTCACCTAAAAAAGGCGACCCGGTACGTTCCAACCATAAAAAATCCTCTGCAAACTTGTAACAGTTCGAAATCGTTTCTGAATTGAGAAGGCAGGTTTCGTAGAGTGTAATAATACTTGAGAAAACCTCTAGCTTTTCCAGTTTTACGACAACTGGCTGGCAAGTACAATATCCGAATGGGTGCTGGCCCTCCTCATCGAGCTCCATATCCTCTCTTATGCTTTTGACCTCAGTAAAAATCTCTTACCATCAGCAAGAGGATCCCATTGCAGCAGCATAATAGACGGACACATGAAACGAATGAGCTTCGAGGCCCCTGTTGATCAGGTGAGCATGTTTCTGTTTATTCTTTATTTACTTACAACTAGGAAGCCTTGAATCTGTGGTACTTTCCGCTCTAATTCTAAAGCGTGTGCGTATTAGCAGTAACGAAAAGAAGAAAAGTTTGGCGCCTATTAAATATTGTCCGAAATGCGCCACGAACTCAACCAATTCAGCCTTGTAACACCCTCCAAAAGGATATTTCGCTAAAAGAATGACCTACTGCTAGGTTCAATACACGTCAAAGTCAGTGTATTAGTCTTCTGACGCACAATGGTGCCATGCAAACGACTGGGCGCGGTGCGATTGGGAGTGCAGCCACGACGTTCCAAGAATGATGCCATCTGAGTCCACTGCAGTTGGTGAGAAATCTGCTCTGGCTGCCCAAGCCCCGCCTCCGTCCTACACCTCACCGTTTTCAGAGACACCGCTATATCTACTGGTCGCAGCTGAAAGGCATCCGTTGTGCAGACCGGACCACCTTGGCCAAGGAGGTACGGTCTGCAGTCGCAAAGGATGAGCACTTTCGCAGCACAAAAATGCGTGAGAAAGGCGCGATCCGCTCGCGACGAAGGACACGCAATGGTACAACGTAACACCCAATTTTCATTGCTAGGGGCTTCGTGGTGGTGCGGCTTGTTTCACTACTAGCCGTTTCCATTTCGAATAACCAGAATTAGGTAATGAGGGGAACGAGCTGGTACAAACCCCCTGCTTTTCCTGCTTTACTGAATCACATACCTTCCCGCCATCAGTATTCGAAGACAATTCCCGCGATCAAGTGTTACTGGTAAATGGTTCTCACAATCAGTCGTGAACCATGGGCCCATAAGCAGCTCCTCAGTACAGAAAGAAGAGAAAAAGAAAACCTCGGGACCATCCTAAACACAGAGCTCCGCCCAGCAGTGGGGCGGCGTCTCGGACGAGTATGTCGCACGTGAAGGTTGATCGGATTTACTCCTACAACGTCCGCGTGGCACGTGTCGCGCGCGTCGCTGCTGGCATTCTGCCATCTTTGGTGATCCGCGCGCTCCATAGCGACTGGAGCGTAGCACTCAAGCCGTGGGACGTGGCGTGAGCGCCAGCAATCCCTGGCCAAGCGATAGCGATTTTCGTGTTCGGAGGTTGGAGGTCTGGGAACAAAATTTTTAGCCTTCTTTTAAAAAGGCGCGATAGAAAAACTGGTCTGTAGAAAAACTGGTCTGATGTCGGAAGATTGGGGTAGTAACACCTGAACAGTCACCTGAATCGCCCCTCCTCCTATCTAGAAGACCATTAGCGTAGTCTGAGAAACACACTAATTGCACTTCATTTCACACATGCTCCTCGTTGAAATCGCGCTTGCGAAGAGTATGGAAGACGAACTGCTTGCTCTTCAGTTCTCGCCCTTCCCATTGCTGCAGGGTATGAAACTCAAGAAAGGCTTGTTCCTTGTTTGTTCACATTTTCCTAATTGGAACGGGCTTACAAAGACTGTGGTACTCTGAAACAGCCTAAGTGGTCTCCAATTTATGTCTAACGGCGCGAAGTTTGCACTTAATCGCTCTGGAAAGCGCAGATCACTGAAGATGGCAAAGTGCCAGAAGCGCCGCGCGCGACACGTGCGCGAGGGAGCTGTGGGAATAGAAGCTTGTGAGCCGTCTCGTACTGCTACAGTATGATGTTGCACGCGTTACAACGCTCCCCTGTCTCTACCTTCTTTATCTAGCCGTTTTGAGGGACAAAAGTGGTACGTTCTCTGTGAACGCGTATAAACAATTCAAAGGCATGGGGTCATCTTGAGGACCACCTGATCGCAGGAAGTGTCTTTAAGCCGCACATCCCACCATATGAAAGCGGGGCCTGCTTCTGAAGCTTCGTTAGTATTGGATTTGGTTTCCTTGGAGACTAACAAGTAGTTCTATTGAATTTTGCACTATTTACCCTTTATTGCCCCAGTCATCCGAAATCAGGCCAGTTCCTGACCGACTTTTTTCTCCGTGGGCAGATTTTGCTCAAATGTTGTCTCCTGGGGTAGTTTGACCTCCAGAATACGAATATCACATTCGCTGAACCCGAAACATCCTGGCGCGCGCGCCACAGGCGCAAATGATTTGG